AAAGGTTTGGCCCAGTTTTGATACAGTGGCATTGGTATTGTGCTATCCACTTGCTGTATGAGTCGACTATACTGTGGAAACTTCTGCTGTTGATCGGTCCTGCATACTCGGCATGGATGCGGCACCATGGCTTAGTAGTTTTTGGCCATGAATAGAGTTCTGATTTTTATGGCGCTTTCAAGATATTGGCGCACTTTTGGCAGCGTTTAGCTATTTCTTATAGCTGTTTGTCCATGAAGGGCCTTTATACATAACTGCGGGCAAGCGCCTTCATTCGGTTGATTCTAGGATGCCCGGCGTGGAACTGCCGAATAGCATGCTTCTGAAGTGCCTTGGCGATGACCACTATTTCCGAAAATAGTATGCAGTCGTTTACAATAGTGAGCGAGTGTCTCCTCTGGAACTACTGTTGCAACTCGGCAGATAGATATGAACGTGGCCAACTTGTTTTGTGAAACTGTGCAACCTTCTTGAGTATTGGGTCCCGAAGCGTTTCGATTCGTACAGCTTCTGCGGTAACTGGTAGACGGTGCAATGCATCAGTTACCAGATAATTGACGTAAGGTTCGATCTCGACCGAGGCAGTGGTTGTGACCTTATGTTCTTGCTGATGGGCATCAATTAGGCGTGACAGTGCATCCGCTTGGCAATGGAAATTGTCGACTGGTGGTGGATCTCGGAAACAAACCAAATTAAGGTAAGAACCTAACGTTGTGTCCGGTTGGCTGTGTAGGCCGGGATGCCCTTTTTCGAACCAAAGATAGGCAGCACGAGTTTGTGATCTGTCAGACGCTTGAAGCAGCGGCTGTATAGCATTTTGTGGAATTTCTTGACTGCGTACACTATGGCCAATGCTTCTTTCTCAATCTGGCTGTAATTCTTCTCGGCCTTCGTAAGTGTTCTGGCGGCATGGGCGATTGCTTTCTTTCGGTGTACGTTTGTGCAATTACTGCACCAATCCCATGGCTTGATGAATCTGTGGTTAGGACAACCTCCTTGGGAGACTAAGTGGGAGGGGGAGGGACAAAGAAACTCACAACACAAACGCCATTGAGGTCGGCTCCTAGCCATGTCAACAAGTGTATCCAGCCAAACGTGTTCATCGTCCTTCGATCCCCAACCAAAGAGCCAAGTGGCTCCGATCGAGACCAACTTCGAAGTACGACGTAGCCACAAATTAACTTCGGTGGTGCGCTGCATCGCTATGTGCACTGGTAACACTTGAATTGGGCAATATACGGTTTTCCGCAGCTTCGGGCCACTTACAATAAAGCTGCATCTGTTTCTCAGTCTAGTGGTCTGAGCTAAATTTGCTCAAATGTTCTGTGGATAACCGAAAAGCGTATGCTTAGCGCCGATGGAAAATGGCATCCATCTAGTTTTATTCATGTCAACATAGAGCAAAGGAAGATTGCTTTAACCCTTACGACCGAGAGAAAACCTATTTTCCCGCAGCTACAATTCATGGATGAAATCACTGCGCAAATCTTAACTGGTCGTCTGTCTCACGCATATAAGCACATCTACTCAGAGACCATTTCGCCGCCAACTCAAGAGTGAAAACTAGCTTCAGGCACAAGAGGCCCATTGTGCATTTGCTCGTTCTCCTGTTCATTTGGAGCAGGCTATCTTGGTCGTACTATAGAGTGGAAAAACCATCCGGCCTGGCTCATGACCAGGTGTCGGAAAGTCCTCTATGGCCATACATCTCATCGACAATTGGCATGTCGCCAGGTTGGCTGAACTAGGTAATGTCATCTCTCAAGTTCCTGATCACCCAACAGAATGCGTCCGTTGACTTACTAAAACTAACTGAAGCCATCGCTATACGAACCGGAATTAAGAAAAGGCTCCATCAGAGGTCAAAATTGCTTTGGTCCGACAAGATTGTGACATCTGGTCCGCGGAATCATGTGCAGTCTGCAGACCTGACCTGCTTAAATTTGAGAATGAGCATATCATACTGACCCTTACAGTGTTTAAAACGTTTCAGAATACTGCTAGCTCGTGTTGACAATTCAGTTGTTTATTTGTTCCCCGATCTTGGTTGCAAACGCTTCGTCACTATGGGGGGTGACATCGTCGGGGCACTGAGATGCAGGGTCCATCGCGACGAGATTGAACCTTCATTTGGAACGCTAGTATGCGTGCCACAACGGTCCATTGAGCTATGCTGGGTGGTTCTTTTTGCACTTTCAGAGCCACTCATACCCGATTAATCAGTGGTTGGTGGCCAGACAAACTCACTCTCCTGGCCCTCCATGTCGGGGATTGTAGTGTGGGAGGCTTTTTTTATCCGTAAACGGTGTTTCTCTAGCCCATTGCCAAAACCTCGCGGCCAGGTTCTTGAACCAAAGGCTTTGTTTGAATACCTAATCATTCTCTTGTCTAGACTTCGGAATCCTGACAGTTCCTTGCCCGCGCAATACAATTATGATCTCTTCACATGATTTCTTGATGCTCTGGCTGTCGCAGAGGATTATTAATGGCGCCCTATCTGCTGCATCGAGCAGGCTGGATAAGGGTTTGGATGCTACTAACTCTGGCCTTCCCATCTTTTTCTTCCCCCACTTGCGCTTCTTCACCCTTATCGCCTCTCTCCAACCTCACTTTTATCCTCTTTGTTTTCAACCCCTCAATTCCCCTGTCTTGCTTCAGTAGGCATTTTTTGTAGTTTTAACTCACACGCAACCTCAGGGTGTCGCTCTGATTCAGTCAATAAGTCCATGTTCAACCAAACAGACAGCATCAGTTCATCCATTCCTATTTGCAGCCATCCATCGTCGCTAAGACTGGTATGTTTCAACGTTGGAAACTGACCAGCAGGCAGCACTTGCCTAAACACCCTATCGATCGATATTTGCTGTTTATCCGAAACCTGCTTGTAATATGCGAGCGCTGTGCTTACCCTGCGATTCCCCACTGGTGACACCTCATTGCGCTCGTCCGGAGATAACTCATCTTTAAATATCGGTCAAGCTGCTATGGGCATTGCTGAGACCTCGGGCTGAAGCTGCCCTGATCAGCTGAATTCCAGTCAACAGCCGGATATGCGCCGTCAGACTGACTGGCTCATTCCAAGCTGTTAAGTTGCGCGGGGACAAACCGTGCATGTTTGTCATTGCGGCCTACGCCCCCACGAACTGTAACGCTTACTCGATGAAAGATGAATTCTATCACCAATTGAACGAGCTCGTTCGTCTCAGAGAGAGTACGGATATTGCGATGATTGCTGGCGATCTGAGCGCTCAAGTTGAAAAGTTATCTACTGTCGAGCTGTGTCTGGGCGGCCAACACGGTGCAGGCTCCCGTAATGATAACAGTGTACGGTCGTCTATAAAATTGAAGACTGGTAGCTCAGGTTGTTCAGATGGCAGTTGAACCGTTCGCCGAGCTTGACAATTTGGTTGCAAACGTTTCGTCACCAATCGAGGTAACATCATCAGTGCACAGTTGAGTGGCGTGCACTAGCGTAGAATAGCGTAGGGGAGCCTCGGTGAGAGTGCGCTGAGCGTGGTGTGCGTGCGTTTTTATACCGCTGTGGTTGCCCGTGGAGGCGAACGATCCCATTGGTTGGGATTTCGATCCGCCTTCAGCCTGGTTGATGGGCCGATGACCTTTGAGCCTGACTCCTTGTGTTTCGTGGCCTTTGTCTGCTTGCGTTTGTGAGCGAGTCTTTCGTCAGTTCTGATTGGCTAGCCACAGGTTCCACCGGATTCAATCGATTGAGTTGGCGGTCTTTCGCCAGTAGTGTTGCGTATACTGCGTCCAGTTCGATGTATCGATTGATTGTATTCGTTGTAGAGTACCAGGCTTCCAAAAACACCCTGGCGTGTTTTGTACTTCCATATGCTAGGATCTTACCATTCTCCAGCTCGAAATGGTGGCCTTCTTGATCTTCTTGCGCAGAAAACAATGAGTGCAGATCATATCTTCTGAGTGCCGCCCTGTGTTCGGTGATTCGTGTACAAAGCTTCCTTCCAGTTTGTCCGACGTAGTTTTTATTGCAGTTGCTGCATTTTAGCTGATAGATGACATTGCATTGGTCGGTTTGATTGACTTGATTGACCCAACGTGAAACAAGAAGAGCAAGGGAATTCCTGGAAGCGTGGTTCTCAACACAAGACTCGATCAACATGCATATCGAGATTGACCCAGTTTACCAACCCCTCCGACGGAGAGAACTTAGAGAAATTATGAGACGGCGCTTGAATAGGAACAACCCAAGCGACGACCTCCGCCACGGGGAAATGGGTAGAGATCACGGGACACAGATCGAAGCGGTCACTTTCGAAATGTCACCTGCACGCCGATCACGGGTCGACAATTCAATCAGCGAGATTACACCCCACATCTCGACGCACTGATGATGCCGTCTCGCATGACGGTGAAACGTTTGCAAACCAATTTCGCAGCTCGGCGAACAAATGAGCAACTGAACTACATTGATTATTTCCTGTTATTATAATGGTATTGACGAGATGATACGAAATGCGCGCATCTACCAATGTTCCTCTTCTTTCTGTGTTGTTTATTTGCAGTCGACTAGCGAGTCCCACGAACTGGATCGCGATTGGAATTGTCTCCAATGCGCGAGGAGGGATTACTAATTCATCACTCGGGTGTGGCAGTGGCTCACGAGGCTGTGTGAACCAGATCCTGAAAGCCGCGCTGTTAATGTTGCGTAGCTTAGCAATGTCTGCAGCTAAAATGTCCTGCTCAGCAAACTAAACATTCTCTAATCCCCATTCCGAGCTACAGGAATTTCCAAAATTCTCCCATTTATACATACCACGGATGTTCACTTTTCTTGCTCTCTTACTGTTGACCTCGTGGTGTCGAACTTGCACTCGATTTGAATCCGATTGCCGCGCAGTTCCTACTGCTATTCAAACTTCCTATTGGTGCTTCCCAGCTTACTGTTGTTGGTTTACATCTTATCGCAGCTAGTAACTTTTCGACTACTTAGTGTATGCATTATATTTCTGCTCTTTTGCCAGCTACGGGAAATCAGAATCTTCTCGGTCTATCACATGAGGTGTTACGTCGCCGTGCAAGCAACCTCATCCGTGAGCTTTGGTACACTTTCAACACCCAACTGAGCTCGCTGGGGAATGAGTTACTTTCTTCAGATATCGACGCCTCGCGTCGTGTTTCGGACCGTTTGTTCTCATTACGGAACCGGTTAAATGAAATGAGCATGTATTTGGAAATTGATATTGAAGGTATTGGACGAGTTGATGCCCTTGAGAATCAACGAATCACTGAACTCGATCATGCCAGCCAGGTCGTTCAACAGCGCATCCAAAAAATTCAGGTATTTACTCGTCAAATCGCATGTTTTTTTCGTCGCGGCAGGACTGGTTGTTCGATTTCCACCGTCTCTACTCCATCGCGACGATACTGGCCCTTAATGTGGTGCGTTTGTTTACGTGCCACAATGATCCACTGAGCTGTGCTGGATGGTGCTTTTTGCATCTACAGAGCCACCAATACACGATTGGTCAGTTGCTAGAGGTCTGACAAACTTATACTCATGGTCCTCTAAATCGGGGCTGGAGTGAAGGTGGCTTCTTATTCCTTAAAACGGACTCCTGTCAAGTTCGCTGTTTTGTGGTCAGGTTTTTGAACTAAAGGCCTCGGTTGAGAACCCTAATCGTTCCCTTGTCTAGGTCTTGGACTCATGATAGTACTTTTCCCAAGCATTGCAGTGAATTTATCTTCGGACAATTCCTTGATGCTCTGGTAGCCGCGTATGCTGAAATAGCTCTTTCCAGGTATTTATCATGAGCAACGCTCGATTCTCCCGATTTTTTAAACTGGAGGTACGCATCAGGCAAGTCCAATTTAACAAAGCACTTGCAACTTTGCTAATGCGTAGTGTTAGAGGTTGCTTGTGGTCTTCTATCACATCATTCAAACCGGTAGCATGATTTGCACGATAGGGCTGCCCATGACGAATAATTACTCGGTTTGATAACTCTGACCGACTGTTGACTATCAGGTTCTTGAGCAATGACGAAAACGGTTGCATATGGAACTGACCGCTCTGGCCGAAGACTGGCTTCGCGACTGACCACAGGTATAAACTAAGCTTGTTTTTAGTGCACAATCCTAAACCATCATTACTTTTGCAATGTTTCCCTCCAGTTTGCAACTGCACAGCTTAATTTGTTATGCGCATAGTTCAATCCACTCGGAACCATGTAAACTCAGATCAGAATATATTGTTACAAAGCAGACCTCTACGAGCTGACTGTCTTTGGGGGTTACAGGGCAAGCAATATCATTAACCGGGCTAAGCACTCATCCTGAAGCCTTGGTAGCAACGCGAGTTGTTTTCCGATTACATGCTTCACCCATTTTATTCCACCTTTTCTCGGATATGACGTTGATATCTGATGCAATGTCAACTTGGAGGCGCACAGGCACTTGATTCACAACTACGGTAATAAACTTTGTGCGCTTTGCTGCTCCAGCGTCAGTTGTGCCAAAACAGAATGAAGCTTATATCCTTGTTTCGTTAAGATGTGGGCGCAAGGTTTTTGAACTATTTGATGGAATCATTATTGTTGTAAGCTACTGCATGGCAGTAATTTTCCTTGTGAATTCGTTTTTTGCTTTTCTGACAGCGATGTTTATTGACTATGCAAAATCTGAAACAGTGTCATTCCCTGTATTGCCAGCCTGCGGATAGTGGCCTGCTTGGTTTCATAGAGTTCGGAACCTTTACTAGACTTCCTCGATGGTCTGACACCGCTAGCACATCTACGGGACAATGACTGCGATCTTGAGCAATCAGGTTCGTGTCATGTTTCAATTTGCTTACTATCTGGTAGTCGGAGGTGATGGAGATGAAGTTGAATGCATGGGTCGTCCACAATTTCTTAACTAACCTCACGCGTTTATCAGCATCCTCTGGTGTTTGGAGGCCTCAAACAAAAATCAGTACCTTGAACTTATCTGGCATTGCTTTTAGTCGGAAGCGCTTGCAATGACGGTTGAGTTGTGAACACGTTCGATGTGCACTTGAGGAGCTTCATGCAGCTGTATCGGACGCTGAATGAAAAGGACTGATCACCAGAAATATCATTTAACAAAAGTACATGACGATAAAAGTTAAATTCTTTGGGGCATTTTTTGCAAAAATATAGTGCCTTATCGTTTTAGTTCCCAGCTTTCACAAGAGCAGTCTGCACTTCCATCCATCGTTGGCATCGGCAAATTCAGACCGGAAAATCTCTTATTATCTTCTGAATCAGGCTTTGAAGGTGAGGGAGGGATGCTAGTCGTATTTATTAAGCCAGACGAAAGCAGAAAAACGGAGCTGGGTAATAAGATGGTTATTTGCGTAACAGTCTAAAAAATCGCAACAGGGCGTGCGAGGCACTCGAGGTCACATAAACGCAGAATCCAAATTATCAATCAATAATTACTTCAGACAAGCGCACGCATTTAGCATCCAGCAATGCACACCATTTGGGTTCACTAATCCATTCGTTAGCAGGTGCCCCTCCTAACACATCTCTGTTTGAAGTCCACTGATTTCAGCCTGGGGTTAAACTAGAGCGGCGTGACAGGAACTCGGCAACGGGTGATTGATAGCTTGTTGGATTGATAGGCTTGTCTTGCTGAGTAGCCTCTGTTTTTGGTAATTCGAACTCATACATAAGTAATTCAAGAGGCGTAGTTAGGGTATCTTCTCTTCTGTCAAATGAGATGTGGCTCCTGGGTTGCTTGATGTGGCGGATCCATCTGTCATCGCCTACTGCCACTTCGTAACAGATATGGCCATATTTTTTATAACCATTTCAAGTGTTCAAGAGATTTAGGTATTTCGATGGTACTTTGCCAACACTTTCTGTCCAACTTCAAGTTGTCGTGGTATAGCGCGATGCCTTCGGTTTTACTGGTGCTCCATTATCCGGTTTCTTTCGGGATTGAGTCTATCCGATGGTCTTATTAGAACAAATTTCGTTCGAGATTTTCTGAGCAGGAGTGCTTCTGTTTGGGACTTCCTTTCAAGCGTCTTCGGATTAGGCGTAATTCTGTACGTTAACAAAAAAGTGTTTAGGACTTCTTGGATTGATCCGTCTCCTTCCGCTTTGAGCAGAGGCCCCTAGAAAATTTCCACAAATCGTTCATCTTGCCCATTTGACGGTGGATGATAAGGAGGTGAGCGCAAATGCTACATGCCGTGTATCGCACAAAATTCAGCAAAATGTGAACAGCTAAACTGGTGTCCATTGTCGGATACTACTGTTCCCGGAAAACCGAACCGACTGAATACTGCCATGAGGACTGTAATCCTAGTCAACGTTGATGTGTGCGACATTTAAAAGATCTCGGACCATTTGCTGTATGTATCGATGATAAGTAAATTGTTCTGTCATTTGATTGGTTCTGCGAAATCAAGATGAACCCTTGACTATGGTTTCGTGGGCTTTGGCCAGGAGAACGGTTAGCATTTCTGTGGCGATTTTGCTGCTAGGGCACAATTTGAACAAGAACATGTGAACTGCTCAAATTGTCAATCCATAAACGGCCAGTACACGTAACTCCTCGCTGGAGCTTTCATCCTGTTGGAACCGGGGTGTCCAGTATGAAATTGATGCAAGAATTTAGACTGAAGTACGGCTGGGATGACACGTTCACCAAACACGATACAGTCTTCGACGACCGACAGTGCATTTCGTCTCGAATAATTATTATAGCTGTGCGTCGGAAAATTCTCTAGGCCACTGTGAGTGGTAAAACATGCTCACTTGTGATAATAGCGGGTCCCGTAAGGTGACGTTTCGGCTCTGACTGAAAGATGTTGGAAGCTGGCTCACAGTATCCGAGAGTACACGGTTAACTTCCGTTTCGATTGAGACATTTGCAACTACAGTGTCTTCTGGTTGGTGCTGTTCGTCTAACAACTGTGACAACGGATCGGCCTGACAAATGTCGCTCATCGATCAATACCCCGGCAAAGTTGTCGCCCATCTCTGCAGACGATTGGTCGTATATACAGGAATTACTTTTTTCGAGCCGAATATAACAAGAGGCGGTTTATGGTCCGTTACTAAGGTAAAGTGACGAGCCTATAACATTTTATGAAAATGTTTCACTGCAAACGCAGTAGCCCGAGCCTCCTTTTCAATTTGACTATACTTTTTTCCGCTGCGCCACGAGCGACTGGTTTCTCACACCCATCTGGGAAGATGTGGGAGATGACTACCCCAACTCCATAGCTGTATGCATCCGATGCCACTACAATTGGCAGTTTTGGATCGTAATGCGTTAGCGTCAGTTTTGAGCTTAGTAACAATTTGATGCTGTCGTAGGCTTCCTAACATTCAATAGTCCAGACCCACGGGACGTCCCTCTTCAGCAACCGGTTTAATGATCCGAGTAGGACGTGCATGGACGGCAGGTAGGTGCCGTAAAAACTCACCATACCCAGGAATGATCTCAACGTCGCTACATCTTTCGGTTTAGGCATTTCCTTGATGTTTGATGGATCAAGTCTTCGTCCATTTTGGTCAACGATAAAGGAGGAGGTGATAAACAATTCACACTTGCCCATTCCTAGGCGAAAACCATACTTCTTTGTTCTATCAAGCACAAGTTCCGTTCGTTGGTGTAGTTCTTCCTGGTTAGATCCCATGATAGTGATATCATCCATCTATGCAGCATTGTAGCATCGTATCCATGATCTGCTGAAAGATTGTCGGGGCCGATCTAACGCCAAATGATAGGCGTGTATACTGAAATAGTCCACTGTGAGTGTTAACCATTAGCAACTCACACGATACTTCTGACATTTCAATCTGGAGATATGCGTCTGACAAATTCAGTTAGGCAAAACATTTGCCACTGTTCAGATGTGCAAAAAGTCCTCAGGGAGGGGTAGAGGGTACTAGTGGTCTTCTAAGGTGGCATTCAGGCCAGTAGAGTAGTCTGCATATAAGCTTAGCGTTCCATTTGGTTTCTTGACAATCACAATGGGAGTTGCCCATGAAGAAAAATTCGGCGGTTGGATAACTCCGGTTGACTGTAGTCTGTCAAGTTCTTGGACGACGATTGAAACCATTGCATATGGGACTGGTATCTTCGGTCGGAAGACTGGATTTGCTTCTGGCCGCAGTGTTCATGTTGTTTGGTCCCCAGGTGGCGCCGTGTCACGGGCTGTTTTGAACTCGACCATTCCGATTGGCTGCTCAAGTATTCAAGGCTTTGGTCACCTGTTCAATCTCTGCAAAGCAAGCATACGGCGCAGATCAGCGTTCTTATTTGTTTCCAGCGATCTTGAATGTTTGCTGTTCTCTTATT